CGCAGCTCGTATACGTAACAGAGTCCCAGGACCCTGCTGTGGAAACAACAGCGAAATAAAGAGGAAATAGATAAAAGAAAAAGAAGAAGAAGAAGAAGAAGAAGAAGAGAGAGAGAGAGAGAGAGAGGGATATAAATATAATAATGTATGTATGTATTATATATATATATATATATATATATATATATATCTATATACATTATATATATGTATGCATCTCTCTCTCTCTCTCTCTCTCTCTTCTCCTCTCTCTTCTCTTCTTCTTCTTCTTTCTTTTTTTATTTATTTCCTCTTTATTTCGCTGTTGTTCCACTGCAGGGTCCTGGGACTCTGTTACGTATACGAGCTGCGCGATGCCCGAAATGCACCGATAAAGTGCGTGATTATTTCGTTTTAAGGGTTGTCATAAGAGGATACACAATCCCACTATAAAAATTATCTCGTTAGTAATTGACAGGCAAACCCTATATATATATATATATATATATATATATATATATATATATATATATGAATAGATATAGTGTTTGCCTGTCAATTACTGACGAGATAATTTGCATAGTGGGATTGTGTATCCTCTTTATGACAACCCTTAAAACGAAATAATCATGCACTTTATCGGTGCATTTCGGACATCGCGCAGCTCGTATACGTAACAGAGTCCCAGGGCCCTGCAGTTGTAAACAACAGCGAAATAAAGAGGCGTCATTAAACAGTGCATAAAGCCCTTTTATGTATGGTGTCACGTGATGTTATAATGGTTCTGCTGCGGTTGAGATCACATTTTGCGTCATGTATTTAGTGACATGTATCGATTTACGCCCTTTTTATCTGCCATTTACGCTTCAAGTAAGTAATTCGCAGTGACAAAGCTTTAAGGAGGTTTGTCGCAGGTTTAATACCGTGCGAAACATTTGACCAAGCTTGAAACCGTGCAGACAAGCACTTAGTACTCCAAGCAATTTAACAGCCATTGGCAACCTCTTTAACCGTAATAGCATTGCACAACGCCAGTGCAGCAGCAGTGGTCGTGTCGACCACTGCTGTCACCAGGCTTATTACCGCGGATCTGTGTGTTTGTGATTTATTTTCGTGGAGCGGTACCACGTCGGCTGACGAGAGACTGCGATGGGATGCCGCGAATCATCCTCGGTACCGCTTCGGCAGCATTAGCTGGAATTGCAAAAGAACAATCGCCACTCTCGGAAGCAGTTTTAAAAGTTTTAAAGGGTTGCTGAATTTGTGGAAATTTGGAGCACAAAAATGCAATATGGCATGCGGAAACGTACGTACCAAGGACTGAGCAGGACAGAGCGACTTTTGATGCGCACTGAAATTTGAGGTAATGATCTGAATTAAGACGTTCGGCTCGCGCTTGTCAGTAAAAAAACACGTTTTTTTTAAGCCGGCAATAGTGCGTTTTTGGACAGCTATCTTTTGGGTGATAGAAATAAAACATCGCTGTCTTTATGATCGCTTTTTTGGTTGTATCTGAAAAATACAAAAAGCTAAACGAATATCACACATTGTTCCATTTCGGAAAATCATCGCCATCGTCATTCCCACCTTTATTATTATCGTTATCTTCACCGTCATCGTCATCGCTATCGCCATCATCATCGCCGTCGTCATCATCATTGTCATTGTCATTGTCATTGTCATTGTCATTGCCAGGGTCAGTGTCATCGTCACCATCACCACCACCGCCGCCAGCACCACCACCACTAACACCCTGTTGCAAGTCCCCACACCCGACGTTCTAGAACACAAGTGCAAAAAAGGAGTTAGTCTCGTATGTCATCTACAGCACTTCCCATTTGGCAGTGTCTCTTAAGAATGAGCTTTCAGGTGGCATCAGACAGGGGCGCAACTTAAGTTTGCGATGGGTGCTACCATGATTTGCAGCGATGGTGGGGGGCTGTTTATCTTTTACCAGCGAGTCACAGACGTTAACAGGTAACTGCCGTACCAATGGGTAATCAAAGTTGGTTTGGCCTGGTGTTTTCAACGGTTGTTTCAGCTCCATGTCGTGCATGTTCACTCGGCTATCCTGTAGTCTCGCGGCTTGGCTAAGGCTGTTAACTCTGCATGCCCCTGCCTGCGGTAGCGTTTGTAGGATGGAAAAGTCCCATAGGTTTTCCACCCTGTAAATTGTGTCGCATGCCATGCAGATTTTGCGTAATGCTTTTCACACATATACAATTGGTTTCATATTGTCTGGTGAGGGGCGGGGAGGTCATGGGGCTTTAGGGCCCCACCGTCAGGTTCAAGCGCAGTTTTTCATCATGGCACCTGTGAGTATGGTTCTAAATCTAGTGATCAGGAACACCATTTTGCTTTTACATCTCATAAACGTTACCGTAGGCAGGGACATGTAGAGTCAAACAGCCGTAGTCAAGCCGCAAGACTACAGGATAGCCGGGTGAACATGCGCGACACGGAGCTGAAACAACCCTCAAAGGCACCAGGGCAAACCAACTCTGATGACTCATTGATACGCCAGGTACTATACCTGTTAACGTCTGTGACTCGCTGGTAAAAGATAAACAGCCCCCACCATCGCTGCAAATCCTGGTAGCACCTTCATTCGCAAACTTTAGCTGCGCCCCTGTCTGATGCTACATGAAAGCTCATTCTTAAAAGTCACTGCCAAATGGGAAGGGCTGTAGATGGCATACGAGACTAACTCCTTTTTTACACTTGTGTTCTAGAACGTCGGGTGTGGGGACTTGCAACAACGTGTTGGTGGTGGTGGTGGTGGCCGCGGTGGTGGTGATGGTGACGATGACTATGACGCTGACAATGGCAATGACAATGACAATGACAATGACAATGATGATGACGACGACGATGATGATGACGATGGCGATGACGATGACGATGAAGATGACGATAATGATAAAGCTGACAACGACGATGGCGATGATTTTCCGAAATGAAACAATGTGTGATCGTCGTTTGGCTTTGCATTTTTCAGATACATTCAAAAAGCGATTATAAATACAGCAATGTTTTATTTCTATCGCTCGAGAGATAACTGCCCAAAAACGCACTATCGGCTTTAAAAAAGCATGGCTTTCACAGACAGGTGCTAGAGCCGAACGTCTTAATTCAGATCATTACGTCAAATTTCAGTGCGTATCAAAAGTCGCTCTGCCCTGTTCAGTCCTTGGTACGTACGTTTCCGCATGCCATATTGCATTTTTGTGTTCCAAATTTCCACAAAATCAGCAACCCATTAAAACTGTTAAAGCTGCTTTCTTGTTGATTGATAAGCCCTGCAATCTTCTTCGATCGGCGTCCTGATTCAAGCGTTCGCGCTTCTACATCGTCAGCGAAGGCTCTTGTGCATGCACGTGTGGTTCTAAGCGTGTGATGGTGGAGGTGATGATAATGGCGACGAATATGGTCATAGTGTTTACCTATAGCGGTCGTGGTTGTACTGATCGCTACAGCAGTGGTGAGACCATGTTGTTCATGCATAGTATTGCTTATGATGGCGATGATGGCGATGATAGTGGTAGTTGTGATGATGATGATGGTTACGATAACGACGATGATACGATGGTGATAGCGATGGCGATGACGATGGAGATGGCGATGACGATAGCAGGATAGATGACGATGACGATGGCGGTGGTGATGACCTGAAATTAAACAATACATCGCAACTTCTTGCCAGTATATTTTCGATGAAACATGAAAAATAATGCATGCAGCAAAGTTTGTATTCCATTGCAGAGATCCGTTGGTGTTCTGTGCGAAAAAAAACAGTGAATACCATACAGCAATATCAAAAAACTGTACTTGTGACCATCAAATCAAACCATGTTCAGAGTCCTCGCAGATGTTTGCACCTAACCGCTTAGACCAGATCGTTAACACAACTTTTGGAGTGTATCAAAAGTATTAGTGCTTTTTATCCTGTTCAATGGCCCTTGGTGCACGCGTTCCCCAGGGTATATTGCATTTTTGTGCTCATAGTCCTCGAAAATAAGAGAGCGCATGAACGATTTTGAAGTTGCTTCCGAAAGCTTTGGCTGTTGTCTTGCAATTCCAGTTGTAGTTGCCGAAGCGGTAATGAGGATCAATGGCGGCATCCCGACAGGTCCCTTGCCAGCCGACACGGTACTGCTCCATCATGGTTGACTGCAAACACAGATGTGCTGTAGTGAGCATGGAGGCAAGAGAACCATTGCTAATATACTGGCTTTATGCCGGGTTATGACGGCGAAAAGAGTCAACCAACTAAAATGATCAGTGTTCCTTAGTTTTGGCCTGGGTCACATATTTGTGTGCTGATATGTTTATGACAATTCCACATGATGACACTGTCATTACGGATATTTTACTTGAAACGCGAACTTCTCATAATGTACCAATGATTATAATGGCGATAATGATATTGACAATGCATTATGCCGCATGTAGCCAAATGCATTACAAAAAATATGTCGTTCCACGCTAACAGTAAAATGCAAAGACTAGAAATACCGATGTTCAGAAATTCTGCGCGCACGTCCTAATGATACTTCTTTTATTCTTCTATTACGTTGCAACGTTTGTGCGAACGGTGAAGCATTCATAAACTGTGAGAAGTGTCACCTGCTGCAGTGCATAAACTGTGAGAAGTGTCACCTGTTACACGTGTGACATGTATGGCACCCTAAATGCACCGTCAACATGCGTATGATCAAGTTTTAAAAAGGTGTCATGAATGTGTGCCAAATGTTCGGTATTCCCACCGGTACGCAGTGGTATATATGTGTATAGAGAGAGAGAGAGAGAGAGAGAGAGAGAGAGAGAGGAGAGAGAGAGAGGAGAGGAGAGAGAGGGAGAGAGAGAGAGAGAGGAGAGAGAGAGAGAGGAGAGGAGAGAGAGAGCATGCGAGAGAGAGAGATATATATATATATATATATATATATAATATATATATATATATATACAAGCGTACAAATCCTTAACAAATGAACGATCTTACAATTTTTCGCGCAGCCAATTTTCCGTACAGCTCCAGTGATGGCCCTCGCAGTGGCATGCGTTACACGCAGCCACACCCTTTTCGTCCGATCTGCAGAATTTTGTCACCGCTGAAACATCACAGAATCAACTTTACAACATGTAATACAGCCATAGCAATAAGGTAATAGGTGAGCACAGCGCATGTCGTGTCTCTTTGGTCTATTGCATCGGGTAACTGGTGAGAGGAAAGCGTGTGCATTAACAATGGTTTGACGCATTGCAAAGACGGCATCTGGTGAACGCCGTCCTTGTGATTGTCTTTGGCGAAACACGCACACCTCGCAGAACAAACGGCAAAGAACGACAAAGTTAGCGTAAACAGGCTACTCACGGCGACATTTGCCCTCCCCGCAGTAGGGAGCATATCGCGAGCAGTGAGCATCCGTTCTGCACCACTTGGATTTCCAGCCTGAAAAATCATATTTCCACAGTGTAATGTCATGCGCTAGATGGCCGTGACTCGGCCCATCAAAGTCGAAGGATGAGGAAAGCGGGCCTTCGCCGCAACACACGCCCAATGCATTTTGTTCTCTTACCGGAAGCTTTCCTTCTAATAGAGTTTTGCGTTTTAATTTTAGCTAGCAGAGCACACTCCCGCACGGCCAGTTAAAGGGATGTTCCGCATTTGTGTGGCGTTTTGAACTGAAATAGCCATCTTGAGGGACCTTTTGATGTAGTTTCACGGTCATGTCCCTTTTAAGACCCAACACCCTCTGGCTCCTGAGTTACACGCCCGCAAAAGTGCGAAAAGGTTTATTTGGAGCCTATTTCAAAGTTGCCCCGGGATTAGTGACGTCATAGAAACGTCATGCGATCGCATTCATACTGTAGGCTGTTCTCTACTTATGGTCAAAAGAGCATGGCCGCTGCTACATTCGGAAAAGGATGATGCGGCACGTATGATACAATGCGCGGAAGGTGATTGGCTGTTAGCAAGATTTCGCTGCTGAATGCTTGTCGCGAACGTAAGCTTGGGCACTTGCAGGTTGTACGGCACTCGTCGTGAACGGGTCAGTTCTCCTTATTTCTAGGCCACAGGTCAACATTATAAAAAAGAACACCACTGCCTGCAAAAAAGTACAGCACTTAAATGACGGGCACTCCTTCAAAAGTGATAAAAACAGAAGAAGCGACGGCAAATCTGTCTTGTTCCCTTGCTGGCGCTTTTTTTCTCTTCTTCTGCCGTATTTCTTACAGACAGACCGGTCGGCGCGTTGTCTACAGGAGGATTGAACCTTGCACGGGTTTATGGGTTAGCCAGGCATTATGAAATTAGGGAAACTTACAGTAATTTTAGGTATATTTCACTAGACATTTCACACGTATTGTACAACTCTAATTTTGAACAAAAATTTGTGTTCTACAGGTACGTCTTGAGCCGCATTGCCATAAACACCAATTGGGACTTTGTTTTGAATGGATATGACGGTGAAATGCGGTGTCATGACTGAAAATATGTGCAAAAATTGCAAGAAAACCTGCAATTTGATAGTCCCGCGAGCTGTGTAAGCGTGATATCACACTTTTTTCTTTTTTGCAATTGTATCCGAACCCTTTGAATGGATGGATTTCTGGGACCAGACCTAACGCTAAGCAGTGTTGTTGTGTGAGCCCTGACCCCTACCACCCGATCGCGCAATTCCATGTCAACGGCAGAATTTGGTGGCGAAAGCTCAACGTGCCGCAATGCTTGGCACGGTCCGTCATGCACTCTGACGTCAACTGGCCTTCAGCGCGACCGCTGCCACCGGCCGCAGGCCATACCTGTCATGGGCAAATAGCGAACGCCCTTAAGCGACTCGAAACCACCCCGCCACTGGTGGGTGGATTGGAAAGGACGCGCTTTAACCAACTGAGCCACCGAGACGGACATATTTGATTTTTATGGACTTACTTGACAACAGAGTGTGAATTGAGGGCTTGAAATGTGTGTGATCACTGGTGGTGTGTGCCAATTGCTTGTATTGATCTTGATGTGATGGGGAGTGTGCGTGCGAGGTTTGTACCTCTGAGAGAGAACATTGTTTTGGTATTCTTCAAGTCAACTGACTCCCAGTAAAACGTGATATATTGATACCTGCCTCTACCTTTATGCATGACAAAAGATAGCCAGCAAACTAAGAGAAACACTAGCACATGTGTTGCAGAGGTGAACAAAGACAAGCTGTTACTTCATTATGGTCTTGCCAACATTTTGAACCTATCGAGGTATTACAGCATGTCATTAATTCATTGCATGCCATTATATCGGCAATTCAATTTGGCGGTATGGGCTGGTGCGTGCAGCTCATTAATGGACATGCTCAATATAGGCTCACATTATATGGCTTTGCAAACTTGTCTTTCCCTAAAGAATTCCGAAAATGTAGAGCTGTATTACCACTGATGCACGCTGTACTGTCCGTGGCAAATTTCGTATGCAGGCGAGCACTGCTCGTGAGTCATCAATGACATAGGCACTGCAACTTGCGTGAGATGCTGGGTGCTGAGACAGGTGGAAAAGTATTGCTGTTGGTGTCTTGGAATAGCACTTAATATAATTTTTATCAGTGAGCCTTGTGTGCACTGGCAGCTTCATCATTTCTTTGCATTTTGCCCATCCAACCATAACTACACGGACTTGTGTGTCTCCAGCCTTGTGCAAGGTTAGCATGTTTGCAGCGTCACCTCACCACATGTAAAATTTTCCTGTTATTGTTTAACAAGCAGCCTGATGGCTGCAGCATGTTGCATGGCTGTGGAAGTGGAAGATGTGTTTGCATCCTTTCTCACCTGCGTTTTGTGGATTCTCGAAACAGGGTGAGCAAGTGATGCCACGTATTGTTTGTCTGCTTTGCTGAAAGTGATTTGTATATTGCATCATGTGTTTTTGGTCAGTCATATGTCAATGGGAAGCCGATACAAAGTTCACGCTTACCCATTTTTCATGATGGAATTTGTTATGAGAGCAGCATGGATTGCAGTAGAAAAACCATATGGTTGTTCATTATGTCATGCCGCAGTACAGCACTGAGGGGGTGCCAAAATGAAGCTGTTGGCCCATGACATTACACAATGTACCACATTGGTTGACTTTTCTATGTCAAGCCTATGACGACAGCAGCTTATAATTTCATGAATAACTGGTAACAACTGATTTAACAATGTCGAAGGACTATCAACAGCAAGAATGTCGTTGCACCACAATGGCTATATCAGGGTTAACAATTAATTGCATAAATAATTCTGGGCAAAAAGAAGCGTTCTTGGTAGTTTATTAATGTAAACTACCAAGTAGTAAATTGTGTTCGACTCAAAATCTTTAAATGTGGAACAGTCAAATAAAAATAGTCTATTTACTTCTCTATACCACAAGCCTCGCTTCCACTACAACTAGGTTGAAATGATCACTGTGCATTTACAGGAAGGAGTGATCACTGAATATTTTCTGTGAGCAGTGTCACTTGAACTAAAATAACCTAACCTGAAAGAGGGTCCCGCTCCAGCGGGCCTCTCGGCCTCCTCACGGCTGGCGCACACAACCTGTCTCGGACAGGCGGAGCGTCGTGAGGTTTCATGATAAATTAAGAACGAGGATAAGAGCGCCGGATGGGGTAGGTCGGAGCACAGGCGGTCCAATCAAGTGAGCTACCGGAACGGCTGGATTCTGACAGATTGAGGGTGAACAAGAAATATAGCCCGTGTCGTCTCGAACGAAGTGAAAGCCGTAGCAAGCAAATAAGCCGATTTCGGTTTTTTGTCAGCTGAAAACCGAAAAATTCTCGGTTTTAAGATCGTGAAAGTACATTGAACAAACGGCATAGTAACGCTGTGGTCAAAGCACACGACGCTATAGTGTTTGTTTCGTTACCGACTGTAGCTTGAAGCTGTGATCTAAAACACTGCGGTAGTGCTTAGCCTAATGTCGCGCCCTGTCTTCTCACGGGTGCATGTTGAAGAGAATAACATCGCAGACATATTCTAGGATGAAAAGCGGATAGCTCACCGATGAATGAGTCAAGGTGAGTCAGGAGGATACATTGTAATATCTTAACAGAACTGAGCACTGATTCTCGGCCGAGAAAATCAGTATAATGTCCGAATGACCATTAAGTGCGTAACGCCTTCACCTGGAGCGTGAACAGCGACCCATGCCTGCCTGGCAAGAGAGCAGCTGGTGTACACGTCAAATGCGCCGCGTGGTCAAAATTCATGGCACATATCAAAAATGATATGTTGATTCCAAAGCGTGTAAGTTACATTCACGGAGCCTGCTTACCTTGAACTGTCTTTGGGCTGCTCAAGATGCCTAAAACGAGGCAAATGGCGACGAGACTTAGCGAGCATGGCAGCCATTTTCACTCGCTCAGTGTTTAAGCAGTAAATGTCGGACCCGTCAACGATGGTTGTTGGAAACCGAATGCGTCATGCGGTGATGGACAGTTTGCAGAGGCGTCACAAAGTGATGGAGAACACCACGTATCGGCCACCTTTTACGATCACTAACGACATCATAGGACGGACTATCAACACTGGGACTAATGCGAACTTATGAAAAAGAAATGTGCGGGAGTAGATGCATAACAGGTGCATGATTTTGATCTGCACATGTCACGTTGCATAACTTGCATGCGCATGTAGATTACTTGGGCTGAAAAAGTGCTTTTAGGACAACAAATGGATATAATTATCATTCTAGAAACGCACATAGATAATCCAGCAGGCGGCCCTGTCCTCCGATAGGCGCCCGTTTTTCCGGCCTGACGTTAGTCTCGGGGGATGTCACCATGCACTAAACTCGACCACGGCTTTGATTCCGGCGTAATTCCTCATCCACAGCCTTCAGAACCATACCGGGTTTTAGTTCTGGGCTTTCAACATCCTCGTGAAATAAGCCGCCGGCTACTGGTTTGTGACTGTGTACGGTCAATGCTCCTAATACAAATGCTTCCACCGGCAGAACCAGATAACTGTCACGTTATGACTTCTACGCAACGTTGCTTTCTAATGGATGCACGGCCTAGGCGAATACGGCTTCTAATACAACAGATCGCACACAACAGTTCTTATACAACTTCTAATGCTACAGAGGCCGCTCATGTATTACAGTGTCGCATGGAAGATTTCTAGCCAACATCTCACTCATATCATCTGTTACAAGCCTGGGGCTCTGACGCAGTGAGCTGATTGCTTTTAAAATGCGAGCATGGACACATCCTTATTTGCTTAACGGCAAGGACATCATTTGACGGGAAAGTGCAAATTTGAAAGCGAGAAGAACATGAACACAACATAGACAGATAACACATAGCTATTCACTTTTTGTTTACATTTGACAGCATGGGCAATGGAAGTTCTAGAGTTTCGGGTCTGGATCTTTTCCTTTCCTGTTTCTTTTCCGTAAGTGCATAGCAAACATTGGCCGCTCAATCAACATCGGCCCTACCTTGAGAAGGTAAATATTTCATGTTTAAAAAGTCAGGCCCATTCGCCACATCCCGTCAGCCGGAAAATACAGTGCATATTACCACGAAAAAACCTTTTGCAACTCTTGTTAGCTGGAGGTTTGACAGCATTTTAGGGAGACCCTGATGGTTGAAAAACTGAGATAACAGCAGTGTTTTATTACCTTGAAATATATTTGGATATTGCCAGATCCTAATGTAGTTGATTACTGCACCCTTCATAACAGATACCCCTACTGTCCGGCAGTGATCAGCACGTAGCTTCAGGTGCCATGTACTCATGCGTCAGGCAACAATCTTTAACTAACAGTAAAACCTTATTGGCTTGTAGTGGGCATATCAGTACATGTGGACTGTTTCGCATGTATGTGTTATGTGGCCCTTAAAGGGTGTGCTCCCTTTTTGTGTTACGTTTTGAGCTGAACCGGCCATCTTGAATATCATTCGATGTAATTCCCAGTCCTGCCTTTCCTAAGACCTAAGTCCGTATAGTTTCTGAGCCACACGTCCGCGAACATGCACAGACTATATCGTGCAGGCTACTTTAAGTTCACCCAGGCACCCATGACGACAAAATAGTCATTCAATCATGCCATGCCATTGGCAACGCGGCGATCAAGCCAAGGAAAATATCATAATCGAGTCGTTTATATCTGACGTTTGCGAGCACGATTTCCAGAATTATACGGCCGTCAATTGACTCTAAATCAATGTTATGCAAAGTACGATCACGCAATGAGTGAGATATTACCGAATGTATTCGCCCAAACAGAAATAATGTTTTCCAGAGCAGTTTTTCACTTCAAGTTGACCAGTGGTTACAAGCGAGCTTATGCCATCATGTATGATGCTTGCTTCCTTATCTTCAAGTGTCAAACATTCTCTTTAGCTTTTTCACTCAAGCAGGAATACCTGTGGTCGTCCAGAGGCAAAGGTCTTCAACTAAGAGTAATGCTATGTTGGTTGCAGTGGTGGCCATCAGGACATACCGTTTGACTTGCCCGATGGTGTGTGAATTTCATGTGGTGCGAGAAGCAGAGCTATGTAAGGGTATACTGTGTGAGAATTTCCAGGATCCAGGATATGGCTTTGTCGAAGGAACTAGTCGGAACAAAGATCCATGGTTTTGTTTTGTCGAAATACCAGCGCAAGGTCCAATCTTGGATCCAAAGATCCAGGATCTTGGTTTATCAGAAGAGCTAGCAAGAACTTGAATCCCGGTTTTATTTTGTCGAAAGAACCAGGGAAACATGATTCAGGGTTCTGCTTTGTGGGACAAACCAGTGAAAACCAGGAATTACAACTGTGAACCAAGCAAATGTCTGGTGCAACCATAAGGACGTGGGGAATGGGAGCTAAGCCACTTACAGGGATTGGCGGCTCCTAAGACTGAAAAAAATGTGGTAACCTAGTGACAGATCAAATGCATAACGCAGGACCAAGTTGCAAATAAGATTGCTCAACCCAGTCCGTGTTTAGAGATGCACGTGATGGTGCGCGCCATTCGTTCAATAAGTCATTTTGAAATACTCATTGGCAGAAGTCATTGCATAGAATGGTATTTGTCTTTAACGCATGCCTACGCTCCGGCGATGACGTAGGCGCTACGAGTGTTTTAATCTGGTCTGATGGGCGGCTGAGAGCTCGCCAGTACCCAAGCCCAGTCGTACCTAACCCAGCAAACCCAGTCGTCTGAGTTTGCGTGGTCTTCTCCGTTCATACAGAGGTACGGGTGTGAGGCCGAGGGGCTGCGAGGGCTGCTTTTCACCGGCCACTGCCAACGTAATTCACCGCTTGCGTTGTGTCCCTGCCAATTTGAGCGTGTTATCAGTGCAATTGATTATTGTTGCATTTAATAGCTCCAATTTTGCCTCGTTTAAATATTGTCGTTAGCTCAGCGATGGAGGTGGAGTACCGTGCATAGGGGCGCACAGCCATGTACGGAGAGAAGCCGTTCATGGTATCTGATCGGGCCTACCGTTCCGCCAATACCCCGGTCACCCGCCTCATCCTGGCTTTGTGAGTCACATGAGTATGTAATGATGTCGGGTGCACAACGTGCTGAGTCGTGGGCTTGCATCATTTGACTCGTATGCTGGCCAATGGGCTCCTCAATATGAATTCGCTTTTGTAAGATGTGACAGCGGCGCCGGCGGAGCACAGGCATACAGCGGCAGCCCGGCAGCAGTGCAGCGCAAGAACCAAGCACCACAAGCACCACGCAAGCATTACAGAACCCCACCCCACAACAGTGTCTCTGCTCTACACACAACCCGTCCAAATTAGGTACCACTTGTATGCAAAGTGTCAATGTGCTAATAGTAAGTTTGTGACCAAATTTAACATAAGCAGGTGAAATGACCCAACCCTTCTGGATTAATTTGATATTCGAAATTACCATCGGCGCCAAGCACCGCCCTTGGCGGCATGCTCCTCAAAGCAAACGCTTAATTGAGATCCTGTTAGGCCAGTAACCTTCCTTGAACGTCATGAAGGCAAACCAAGAAATCTTCTGCGTCGTAGTCCAAAAACGCGTAAGTGGTAGTTAAAAACTATCTTATAAGGCAAATTTTCCATTGATAACGTGGTGAGTTTTTTTACCTTGATCTGAATCTGTAGGTAAACTAAGGTAAAATGATTTGGTCCTAATCCTGATTTCAATAGTCAAGCTGTCAAAGACAATCAAAGTTGTATGACTTAGTCTAAAGCTACGTTGTCGTATCATTCTGAACGATAACCTAAAAATTACCCACATTGACAACCTTGGGCTAACTTTGACCTATCAGTAGCCTAACCACATATATCCAGTTTTGTAAGTAAAACTTTGGCTATTCCATTGCCTACAGTTCTGTGAATTTTGACGCTGCTCTGCCACGCCGTTCCGAAATGATTTTGAAACACATATTTCTGGACGTTAAAATTGACCCCACCCCGAACGTGTGGCGCGGAACATCACTGGACGCTCATACTTGCTGTCTTAGTAAATAGGTGGTGGCTTCCTTATCGAACCTTTCGAACTTTACACCATCAGCGAAGGTTGCTTATACGTGCTCGCACATGGTTCTCTAAATATGAATCTGAAGGTGATCATGATGATGATGTTTATCATCATGGTGGTGGCAGTTGTGACGGTAGTCGCACTGTTGGTCACAACGATGGTGAGGCCTTTGGGTGCGATGCTTGGTTATGATTGCGATGGTGGTGGTGATGACGATGGTGGTGGTTGTGTGGCCAATGGTAGTGGTCGTGATAATGATGGGAGTGACGGCGACGATGACGCTGACGATGACAATGATGGTGACACGATGACGATGACGATGATGGTGACGATGACGATGACGATAACGATGATGGTGACGATGACGATGCCGCTATATTGTCATCATGAAAATGAATGATGCATCGTGACCGCCTGATGGTTTATTTTCCACACAAAATAACAATAAGAAGTGCAGCAAAGTTTGCGTTCTGTCGCAGAGGTCTGGTCAGGGCGCAAAGTTCTGGGCTGGTTTCGGTCTGGTCGCATTATGTGTGAAAAGAAATACAGAACTCCTGAAAGCGGTGTCAAAAACTGCTATTTGTGGTGTTAAAAGAGGCGTTTTCAGGGTCATCACAGACAGATGTTGCGATGAATACATCATTTTGGATCATCACATCATGTTTCAGAGCGCATCAGAGGTGTCTGTACTCTTTGTCTTGACTCACAGTTCTTCGTGCGTGCGATCCCCCAAAGCATATTGTATTTTTTTTGTGCGCGGATTTTTCACACGTTCAGAAACTCCCATTACCAGCTCCAAAGCTGCCTCTGAAAGTGGTGGCCGTGCTCTTGCAATTCCAGCTGAAGTTGCCGGAAGCAGTGCCGAAGATATTTAACGGCACAGTGGCAGGTCCCCTGCCAGCCGACACGGTACCGCTCCTTTATGCTTATCTGCAGACACAGGCATGCTATAGTGAGCA